AACTTTTGCAAGGCATTGTAATTGTTTATTATTTTAAAAGTAGAACTGTGTAGCAGATTACAGTAGTTTTTGTAAAAAGCATAATGGAAGTTTGTAAAGGAAAAAATGTATATTAAATATAAACCCTACATTTAAAGCTATTCAACATTGACTCCAGATGCAGCTCAGAAATCTTTGGTGGTACCAAAGAATTTGTTCTGGTACTCGTTTGAGAGCTTAAAGATTCATCTTACATGAAACTTTGTCTATGACAATAAATTGAGCCGTGAAATCTGTAAACACTGGGAACACATTTATATATCCTGTATGAATTAGTACTAAAGTCTGCTTTAGTGTTTTTCACCATTGGAAAGTATGAAGTTAATAAGCAATGGAAAGCATGAAGTAGCTCTTTGGTTGTTGTATTTAATGCACCAATTTCTATTTAAATATAAAAAAATAATGACAGAATTAAAATAATTTAGATGATTTTATAAATAGAGAACTGATGCTGAATAGAAAATATCTATTCCATTTATTTTACACAACAACTGTAAAAAAGAAAGTTATTGTGTTATGGTTTCACAGTTAGAAAAATGAAAACTATAGTCCAGACAAAACTGACATAGCAGATGACATTTAGTAGAATGTGGAAACAAATGAGTCTGGAGCTGTTAATTTTTCAAACCAGATGGTGATGTCTTTTGACACTTTAAAGAAAAGACATCCAGTAAACTACCAGGATAAAATATTATTTCTGAAGTCTGAAGTAAAAGTCTCAAAATATTAAAAGCGTAATGTCTGATGCCAGACCAGCATGTTTAATACCAAGCATGTGTACATCTCCAGTGATTTTCATGGGCAACTGACATATAAAAGATATTGCATTTCTACTGAACAGATAATGACTTTGCAATGTAAATGGGACATTCTATGACAACACAGACATCAGTGTCTTTGAAAATTGTGTTTTAGAGAAGCAGGCACAAAGTACCCAGTCATCTTCAATGCCTAGAGTAATCTGTTGGATTTAATGAGCTAAAGATTTTTAAATTTTGTGTTTAATTTGATTTAGCATTTTTATGAGGCAGGCTCTGTGGTAAATCACATTAAAAATGTTTATAGTCGCATTAACTTTCTTGCTTACACACAGTGCTTTGGACTACAGTTAATAAATGTAACCGATTTCCATAAAATATTCAAAGAAGGCCATTATTGCCATGGTTTTTCATCTCTGCTGCTAAACTTCAATCAGTTTTGCATTTGAAATGCATTAAATGCCTTGGTAAAATGTTATAATCTGTGCTGCAATAATTTTTTTATAGTTAATATTGAAGGAAAGAGAACTTATGTGAGACACATTAATTCCTCTGGTTAATTATTTAAAATGTATTGATTTCTCACTTGTTATTTGAATTTATAACTCATTAACTATTTAAAGCATTAATGTAATTTTCTTGTTTATCAGAGCATACAATAGGATTTTGATGATAAAACTAAAATACTGACATTGCTAAAGCCTGTCTTGTCATAGAATGTATATTAACTGTTTATTTTATTTGTAACCTTTTTATTTAAGTGTAGGAAATATTTAAGAAGACTGTCAACATTAAAAAGGTTTTGAACAGGGCTATTGCTTGAAATCTTTAGTATCATTTAAACTGTGAGATGGAGGTTGCATTTTCCTTTCTTATTTTAGCAGCTGATGAAACTGCACTTACCATAATGGGTTCAAACTAAATGCGTGAAATTAAAGTTTAGTTTCAGGGAATATGATAAAATGTGTCTTCTTCTGGCTCAATCTGGACAAATAGTATGGACCATGACA